CAACAAATCTGCAGCAACTTTACGAGGCTATCATGTCATTATGGACCAAAATCTGTAAAGAATATTTCCAGTACCTTGTTAAATCTATGCTACAGTACGAAGGATTAAGGCAGTTCTGAAGGTAAAAGGGGTCCAATCGGTACTAGGAAGTTGTACCTAATAAAGTGGCCATATCGCCCATACAGTACATAAAAAACAATTATAGCAACATTTTAGCTGATTGCGCAACTTTTCTGGCTCTATTGGAGCTGTCAGTGTCAGTATGATTAAACAAAACCCACTACAGTATTTACTACAAATTACTACAGTACATTTAATAATAATAATAATAATTATTATTATTATTATTATTAAATTTTTTTAGGTTTATATAGTGCTTTTCTGGACGCTCAAAGTGCTTTACATATTTCTGGGGGGACCTCCCCATATATCAGGGGTCACCAATCTCGGTCCTGGAGGGCCGGTGTCCCTGCTGGATTTAGCTCCAACTTGCCACAACACACCTGCCTGGATATTTCAAGTAGACCTTGATTAGCTTGTTCAGGTGTGTTTGATTAGGGTTGAAGCTAAAATCTTCAGGACACCGGCCCTCCAGGAACAAGTTTGGTGACCACTGCCATATATATATATATATATATATATATATATATATATATATATATTTAGAGAGAGAGAGAGAGAGAGGAGAGAGAGAGAGAGAGAGAGAGAGAGAGAGAGAGAGAGAGAGAGAGAGAGAGAGAGAGAGAGAGAGAGAGAGAGAGAGAGAGAGAGAGAGAGAGAGAGAGAGAGAGAGAGAGAGAGAGAGAGAGAGAGAGAGAGAGAGAGAGAGAGAGAGAGAGAGAGAGAGAGAGAGAGAGACAGACAGACAGACAGACAGACAGACAGACAGACAGACAGACAGACAGACAGACAGACAGACAGACAGACAGACAGACAGACAGATAGATAGATAGATAGATAGATAGATAGATAGATAGATAGATAGATAGATAGATAGATAGATAGATAGAATCAGTGGCATAAAATGGTCTTGTTTTGGTATCGTTTATCGCAATTATAATGTGGTGCAATATATTGTACAGCAAAAAAAAATAGATTTCATGAGATATCGGCCTAGTGGACGGGGCCTTATACGCAAGCAATTCATTTGAATATTATTATTCTTGAAAACAAAATTGTAAATTTTTGTTTAAAAACATTACAAGTTTAATTTTTCAGGAATCTTTCATCAATACAATGGGCAGTATTGTCTATTTATTCATTAGTTTATCGTTTTTAATGAAGGTAAACTGTTTACTATCACTTTTGATAACTTACTCTTTGATTTGATTGTTTTGATCCCTTTGCAAAAATGAGATTACTTATTTATGCGTTTTATGTACAGTGTATGTATGTATACACGTATGCATGCATCCATATATGTGTGTTTATACATTTATATATAATTTATTACGTATTAACATGTATATATGAGGTGTGTTAACTTTTGTAAAGAAATGGAAACATCTATTCACCAAGTATGAATGTTAGATCCACTCACCTACGTATCTGTCCCACTTGAAAAAAACAAAATGCTAAAATATATCTTCAGTATGTAAACAGCCAACTTGCCATTTTGTCATGTTACTTTTTGTAGATTGAGACTGTAATCTGTACAACTAAATTTCACCTTATCTTCCTCACCAATGCCTCCCTTTTCCCTGCAGTGTCACACATTGATTCTTGTCAAGCCACTCCAAAGCAAAGCATTACCACAAACAATCGCATCAGCCCAAACACACTGCAGAGATCCTTCATAAACACTGTATTTCCCCTTGGCGACTGATCCAGACAGAGTCACACTTTAATCAACCCATGGTTTCACATCTGGCCCAGAGAGAGGAACATGGTGGAAATGGCCACGTCTCATCTACAGCTCCGGGGCCAAATATTACTACATCACACCACAGGACACTTATCTCTTCATACATCCCTCCCCAGAGAAGATTTTACACTCCAGCTAACAGCATGATTTGGAGGTATACCAAGCGCTCGACCTCAAGGTTACTGAAATCTACAACCGGGCAGGATAAGCATTCTCAGTTTGAAGAAAGAGAACGAGTGAGGGAGAGATGGAGAGACAAAGACCCTCTCTCTCTCTCCATCGTGCACATCCTAATCTCTGTCATCTAAAGAGGATGATCTTATTTCAAGACCTATCTGAGAAACTATGGTATTTTAATGCAACTTGTGTGGTCTGGAGGTCTTAAATATCTCCTCGCCACAAATTTGTAACAGAGGATGTGGACGATCAAGTGTCCTCTGATGTGAGGGTCGACATCCAAACAAACTGAGGACTATGGCTTTCAGGTCGAATGTTAAACCCTTTGCATTCTTATGGGACATTTTTTGTCTTTTTCATTAGTTTTTTTTTTGTGTGTGTTAATGCAAACAGCAGAAGTTTTGGTGCAATCTGACATTAATTTTTTAATTTTTTTTTATTTATTGAGATATGAATTTCACCTAGTATGCCCTTTCATGAATATATTTACACTGGGTTCCACTCAGAAAGAATAAAATTAAATAATTCATTGCAGTACCTTTAAAAAAAGTTACAAATTCAGTTATAGGCTTAAATTTTCTTGACAAAACCTCTGAATTGAACTTTTAGTTTTAAATTTGTTTTGGGACTTTTTGACCTATATGGGAGAAATAGTCACTTTTAAATAAACACATGCTGTGATTTTAGCGATGCAGGCCAAACCAATTAAAGAGATTTAATTAGAACTATATGGGTGAATTTATAACTATTTATTATATATATATAGTTGTAGTCAGAATTATTAGCCCCCCTGAATTATTAGCCCCCTGTTTATTTTTCCCCCTATTTCTGTTTAACGAAGAGATTTTTTCGAACACATTTATAAGCATAATAGTTTTAATAACTCATCTCTAATAACTGATTTGTTTTATCTTTTCCATGATGACAGTAAATAATATTTTACTAGATATTTATCAAGACACTTCTATACAGCTTAAAGTGACAAGGCTTAACAAGGTTAATTAGGCAAGTTATTGTATAACGGTGGTTTGTTCTAGAGACAATTGAAAAACAAATAAGCTTGAAGGGGCTAATAATTTTGTCCTTTTGTCCAATTGATAAAATGGTTTTACATTTATTTTTTTTAGTGCTCTTATTCAAGCCAAAAAATAAGCTTTCTCAAGAAGATATATTATCAGACATACTGTAAAAAAATCCTTGATCTCTTAAACATAATTTGGGAAATATTTAAAAAAGAAAAAAAAAATTAAAGGGGGGCTAATAATTCTGACTTCAACGGTAACTCAAATAACCACTATTTACAACCAAGGTATGAAGAAGAGCATCTCTGAATGCACAACACATCCAACCTTTAGGCAGATGGGCTACAGCAGCAGAAGGCCACACTGGGTGCCACTCTTTTCAGCCAAGAAAAGGAAACTGAGGCTAAAATTTGCACAGGCTCACCAAAATTGGACAATAGAAGATTGGTAAATTGTTTCCTGGTCTGATGAGTCTTAATTTCTGCTGCAACATCATCAGGTGGTGAAGTAATAGTGTGGGGGATATTTTCTTGGCAAACTTTGGGCCCATTAGTAACAACTGAGCATCGCGTCAATTCCACAGCCTACCTGAGTATTGTTGCTGACCATTTCTATCCCTTTATTACCACAGTGTACCCATCTTCTGATGGGTACTTTCAGCTGGATAATGTGCCATGCCTCCACAGTCACCAGATTTCAATCCAATAGAGCACCTTTGGGATGTGGTAGAACAGGAGATTTGCACCATGAATGTGCAGCCAACATATCTGTAGCAACTGTGTGATGATATCATGTCAATATGGACCAAAATCTATGAGAAATATTTACACTAACATGTTGAATCTATGCGATGAAGGATAAAAGCAGTGTATATATATGTGTGTGTAAAATGTAACTAATTCGTGGTAACTAATACAAAATATATGATCCATTAATTCATGTACAAAATGTATTCCATCCGGGATTCCCCATTTTCCAGTTTAACTTTGTTCATATCTGAACTAGGCTAAAGGCCATTGTAATCTCACAAATGAGCCGAACACACTTGCTCTTAGTCAGCAAATTACATTGTTTTCACCTCTCTTCCTGCATGATTTTTCGAAAGAGGTGTGAAAAGATCATTTAGTGTCTCAGAGGGGAAGCTTCCTCCAATATCCCCGTAACAACGCGCTCCGCCTGGCCGATTGTTCTTTGCGTGATCATATAAAAAGATTCGGGAAGTGTCACTGCTTTTTATATTGTTGTTGTTGTTGTGTTTTTCCTTTCCCGAACAATGGGCTTCCAGGACAGAGTCCCCTAACGGGCTACCAGATTCCCCGCTTACCGGGTCTCCAACTCCCATCCCGCCTCTGCTATCTTTCTCTCCCCATCTGGCCCAAGCCCACTTCCCCGGCCGGGATCCATTGTGTGATCACAGGCAGCACGCGCAGGGCCGAGGACAGCCCAAACATATTCAGTTCACTCCCTGGAGGACTGCCAATGGACTCACCTAGAGGTGAAGTATTTGGCTTTATGGATTAATTATAAAGACATTTTTTAAGCCAACTAGTTGGTTCAGGATAAAACAATCTTTGTGCTGACTCCTAGGAAATGGGGTGAAAAGGTTTATTAAGGTGCAGCTAAATTTCAGAGGGAAGAAAAACAAAAAAGAAAAGTTTCACTGTTCATTGTAAGAAGCATCGTGATGTGCTGTACAGCATAAAGCACAACTCTAAGGAGTCACTTTCAAAACAAGCTGCTTTTCTGTTGGTCAGTGTGACGAATATGCATGAACGCACAATTCCTGATTGAAATGACAAGATGTCAGCAACAAAATTTCACAGAGCAATGATAAATGTGACGAATAAAATGTGACCGTTTTAGCAGAGTTTAAAGAAAAGTGTGTGTCAGAAGTGTCTGATGTCAATGACCACAAAGAAACATGCAGAGAAACTGTGGGCAAATGCATTCTGTATATTAATAGTGTTTATAAAGTCATAAATGTTCTTTAAAAATGTATCTCGTTTTCCATATAAACTTTTATATATATATAAATCATGACAATTACAAAATAATTACTGTAAATATCCTACAAAAAGTTTGAGATATATTTTTGTTGTTCAAAAATATTTAGAAAGCCCATGTACAGTAGGTCTGGTTTAAAAACAATTTGCACAATTTATGTGATGTTTTAGTTTTTTTTTTTTGACATTATATTTGCTATAATAAATTGTTTTATCAATGATGAATGGTTGTATCAATATTCTTTAAAATAGAACTTTTCAACCCCATTACAATTTTCAAAGTGCAGGGCTTTTGGTTGATATTTTGATGGCTGTATTTTACCCACAAAATTTACCTAGACTCACCTCAGGAAAAAAACATATGAAATCAGGTTGCATCAAAAACATAATGAGAATCTTTACAAAGTCTCCCACAGTACCTTTAAAACATGCACCTCAAATGACCTCTGCAGTAAATCATCATTGACATTTCAACAAGCACACAGACTAGCAGCAATGCACACTCACAGTTTCTCTTTGTTCTTACGGTTGTTGAGCATTCTTCAAGATGCATCATACAGGGAGCCATGCTGTTGCAAAAAGACGTTTCTTCCATATTTGATGTTCAGTGGACCCATACAGCAGCTTCACTGTAAATATAAAAAAATAAAAAATAAATAAATCAGAAGATCCATAAACCATTATGCTTTTTTCACTATCAGTTTAACTCATTAAGTAAAGCAAGTGTTAACTTTAAAAAAAAAAAAGTTTGAAAATATTTGACTAGCAGTCAATTATTTCAAACAATTTTTAAATTCTTGTAAAAAAAAACTTTTTACATTGTTTTGTGGTTACATGTTGGCAGTTGCATAATACTGATGTAATCATAGTCATAACATCACACATTTGCTATAATTAGGTCAACCCCATGTGTCTTCAAGCAGATGGAGAAGTTCAAGATATATGCCTCACATTATCATGATAATCTGGCTCAAGCTTCAAAAATCAACCAACTTCCTTCTTTTTAAGAAAATCATTAGTCCTAAAACTCCTGAAGTGAGTCTCACACATTTCGTTGGTTAAAACAAAAAGTTCAATAGTATTTTGCAGCAAGACACAGTAAAGGTCAGAGCACACTGATCAATTACAGTAATTTATTGCATAATAATAATAATAACAATAATAGTTATTATTATTATTATTATCATTATTATTACTACTACTACTACTATTAATATTACATTTAAAGGGACTAAGCCAAAAAGAAAATGAATAAATGAATTATTACATTATTGATAACAATTTGAAATAACGGTTTATTAGTTACTGAAAATTGATGTACCACAGTAAATGTGTGATGTACCACAAGGATCAGTTTAAGGTTTAATATATATATATATATTTTTTATAATTTACATTAATGTTTAGGGTAAGAAATCAGAGTTGTATAAGTTCATTTTACTTGCGAATGATAAGTAGTATCTTTTGTTCTGGGGATAATTTACCAAAACTTATTAAGTTGATTAAAACGAATATTATTGAATTGAAATTGTGGTTTGACGTAAACAAAATGTCATTAAATACAAGTAAAACAAAGGTTATGCTATTTGGGAAATTAAAAAGTAGTTATAATATAGATTTAAAAACTGAGAAAGAGTATATTAAATTAAGTTGCTTGGTGATGTATTTGATCCTAAAAATAGTTGGAAATCACAAATAAATAATATGATTTCAAAATTAGTAAAATCTGTAGCAATAGTGTAGAAAGCAAGATTTATTCTGTACAATAAATCAATGTATGTATTTTATAACACACTTATGTTGCCATATACAAGTCATTGTTTGGAAATTTGGGGGATACATAAAAATCTGAGTAACAATCCTTATGTACAATGCAGAAAAAAGAACTTAGACTGATAGAAAATGTGGGGTATTCAAATCCTTTATTTTCTTTAAGTTTTTGTATGTCTTTGTGTATGTATTTATTTGGTGTGAAATCATGGAACAGTCTAAAATAGATTCTCAAACAATGTCAGGATATTAATTGATTTAAAAATGTGTATAAATAGATATTAATAAAGGAACATAATGATGAATAGAGGTGTTTGAAAAAGAATTATATGAGAAAGGCATGATAAAATTTCAATTAAAGACTATTTGCATTATTGGGTCTATATTATAAAATGTAAATGTACAAATGGAACCAAACATATAATACAGTATGTCAAAGATGCCAAAATGGTAAAATATAGCTCATGTAAAGCTTATATGTCTCATGTAAAAGAAGAAGTAATGGGGTGGGGAAAATAATAAGCTTGTGCTTTATTCCACTCCATTTCGAGCATGTTAAAATGTTTTTTTTTTTTTTTTTTTTTTTTGTTAATTAACTTTTAGGTATGATTTTTCTGTTGGAAATAAATGAATCAAATCAAATGTATTTAATAATATTATGTACTCTATGAATAATCTTCAATTAATGTATTAATCATTGTACAATGTTTAACTAATGCATTATTAAAATACAATGTTGTTCTTTCAAACATTAGTTAATGCAATTTGAGTTACAGTACATAAACTAACAAACTAAGGTTATTTGACTAAAATAACATTAACTACACTGCAAAACCCAAAAGAGTAAAAGTAACTCAAACCGTTTGAGGAAAGCGACTGCAGCAAACCATGTAAGTTCAAAAACTAATCCTAATCTGTACTGTGAACTTAATCCATTTGTGTAAATAAAGCAATTTGAGCACAGTAAACCCCAACAAATGAAGAGAACTCAAACCAACTGAGTACTGGAAAACCCAATAAGGTAAGGCAACTCAAATCGTTTGAGGAAACTGATTGCAACAAACCATTTGAGTTAAAAAAAAAAAAAAAAACTATTCGAGTGATGTCAACTTACTCAATTTAGGTTGAAGTTATGTGGTATTTAATTAACTCTTTACCCTTAACACAGAGTTCAAAACTCTTTCCAAATGAGTAGAATTAACATTTAGTCAATTTTGAGTTAACTACACTCATTTCATTTGATATAGTTGACTGTTGGGTTTTTACAGTGTAGCATTAACAAAGATGACAAAAATACTGTAATCAAAGTATTACTAATTGCTCGATTGTGATAGTAAATACATTATTTAACATTAACTAATGGACTAATTTTTATTATTATTATTATTATTATTGATAATGGAAAATAATTATTTCATAATATGGAAAAACAATGTTGTATATAAAGAGTTTTCCAGACTAGTGTTGATTTCAAGGTGGTATAAATTCATCAACAGAGTAAAGTTTTCCTATTCGCACACAAAAGCTGCAAATTAACCTGTTGCATTTCATAACAAGTGTAAATGTTTGCGTGTTTGACCTCTCGCACCCTCTTTTTATGCGTCCCTGGCGTCATCTCTTTGGTGAACTGCCGTGTGTGCATTTGTCACCCCCGCAGGAAGGAGGCCTGGAGTGTGTGCGATGCGGACGCAGCCCCTCTGGCCGAGGGAAGTGTTCCTGTGCGGCGGCCTCTTTGTGGCACGCTAATCGAGCTTTCCTGTCAGCCGGCAGAGTCGTCCCTATGCACACTGCACTACGTGAGACGGGTGGACTCCAGCACTCCTCCGGGAAGTTCTGGGATCAGCAGATAACAATACTGCTCCCACCTCTGACATGCCGCCACTGGCCGACTACATTCTCTCTCTCTTTCTCTCTTCCACTGCAATATCTCTGCTCTGTCTCTCTACCTTTTTGTGACCTTCACAAGCTTTTTCTCTATCTTTCCTTGCTCTTCTTTATTCTCGCTATCTCAATTGTCTTTCTACTGTAGGCCTGTGTCAAAGCAAACGCCCCCTCTAGTAGTCCACGCAGGGGTCATTGTCACCTCACAGTTTAGCCTCTTTGTCATTTTGCCCACACATACTGTTCAGGCATTGATTTTTGGATGCCATGCTCTAGAAGCGTTTAATGAGCTTTGCTTGCTGGCTTTTTAAAACGGAGAGTTTTGTCTAAGGAGTTCTTTGGATCAGCAGATAAACCGTTTTTAAAAAGTCTGATATTATAACACAACTATGCTTTTTGTACTGCAAAGTTGTTTTGAATGACACAAAAGTTCATGGTAACATCCAAAACTTTAAGTTGCACAAAAATGAAGTTAAAAACTTTACAGTTCAAATATTAATATTATTACATTTATAATATTATACTGTATATTCATTCATTTTCCTTCATCTTAGTCCTTTTATTTATCTGGGGTCGTCAGTGCAGAATGAACCGCCAAATTATCCAGCATGTTTTATGCAGCGGATGCCCTTCCAGCTGCAACCCAGCACTGGGAAACACCCATACACTCTCGCATTTACACATTCACTACAGTGAATTTTGTTTATTCAAATTCAACTATATCACATGTCTTTGGACTGTGAGGGAAACCATAGAACAGAGATGAAACCCACGCGGGGAGAACATGCAAACTCCACAGAGATATGGCAACTGACCCAGCTGGGGCTCAAACCAATGACCTTCTTGCTGTGAGTCGATAGTGTTAACCACTGAACTTGCAGGTTTTTTTTTTGTTTTTTTGTTAATAGAGGAGCTCTGCAATGAACAATACATTGTATAACCTTACCTTTAAAAACAAACACATTCAAAAATGAATGTAGGACAATGTTATCTTCTGAGAACTTCCTCACCTCAGAGCTCTACATGCCATATTTACAGATTAATGAAAGTTTAAAGCAATATGTTTTCTACTAGTTTCTGGCTTATAAAAAAGTGAAACTACTGTCCATTCAGATGATTTTCTTTTCCTTTTATTTCATGTTCAAAATAATGAGAATATTTCCATCACAGAAATGTAAGGCTTTGCCATCTCCCTTTTGGTCTCTTCCTACATTCTCTCGTTGACTGCGGAGACTCAATGTGCCTATGTTCATTTTAATTTAGCAATTTGCATTATATTTTACAAAATGTTACTTCAATATTATTATTTAATTTTATTTTAAGTATTGGGTTACTTTACTTGTTACTTAGAAAAGTAAAATTATTACGTAACAAGTTATTTGTAATGTGTTACCCCCAACACTGATTATAATTATAATTTCTAAAATAATTATATAAAATTATAAAATTTACTTAGCATAATAATAAATGACTCTGTATATTTTGAAAAGCTGCTCTGAAATGGCAATTTTCAGATCATCAATTTCACTTTTAATTTTTTTTCTTTTATACACTTGCTTACTATACAATGCTTACAAATTTATCCACCATCAAATAAAAAAAGACAAAAAAAAATATCAGTTAATGTAGTTTAAACATGCAAAGAGAAACAAGAAAAGTAGTTGGTATACTAATACACACACACACACACACACACACACACACACACACACACACACACACACACACACACACACACACACACACACACACAAAGATATCTCGAACAAACTTTCAATGTGGTCACGTCATAGGCCCTTGAAAATTTCCTGCTTGTTATCATATATCATAACTGTAACAAGAGGCAATTCAGTCACATTTTTACATTAAAACAGCATCATAACATAATCAATACATGGACCTTTGTGGACTCTCGGAAGCTATGGAAATTACAAAAATGTAAATCAGGAAATACATTAGGACCATTGTTATTGTTTACATTACTCAAAATGGTCTATAGCAGCAATACTATTAAAGTTACTGTTAATAAATATGAGTTTTTATTGGGTTCAATAACATGTCAATGCATGCCAGGACCCTACTGCTCTTGCCTTTAATTTCTGTAAAATTTCTGACACATTTACTGTAATATTATTTATTATTAGTAGTAGTAGTAGTAGTAGTAGTAGTAGTAGTACAGTAGTACAAGTAGTCTGGGGAATATATGTGTAATTTAATCAGTTTTATTTATTTATTTTTTTAAAGTCAATCAAAGCCAGAGATGGAGAAGACTCTCCATTTTCCCTTTTCTGCTTCGACTCATAAGCCTCTCTCAGCGTGAGGGCTGGATTACAGGGTGTTATGTCCATGACAGCTCTACACACCTTCCACGCACAGTCTTTTAGTCCGACATCTCCATGTCTTCTGTGGAGTGCGAGACCAATGATTAGAAGAGACTACATATGCTCCCCCTGGAGCTCCTTAATCACCTCCACAGCCTGTCCTGTATGGCTCTATTCCAATCTAATCGGATTGCTGTACTGTCCGTGAAAAGTGGCCTCCGAGGACCTTCCCATTCTCATACTCAAAGTCTTTTTTAAAGCATCTCAACGGACGTTCCTTTTTATCTCTTTAAATATTAAGGTTATTTGAGCGTTCAAAGATTTGTCAGGAGGGATTCTTCAAGGACTTCACTCCTCACAGTGAATCATGCAGGCTTTTTATGAGGATGGATATGAACAAAATACAATCATATAAATTGCTCCCACGGACATTTGTCTCCTGTTTAAGTGCCTCTGTCTGTACGATAGCTAAGGAGAGACAAAAATACAACAACATTTTATCTTCAGCCTATTTATGCAGCATACTAAGAGCAGCAATGGCTTAACTCCATTTGGTCCACATAAAAATACCTTTGTTTCCTGCTACAAAAGATGCTGCTGATTGGATGCAGAATACAGCATTCTGAACACATCCGATGAGAATTTTCCAATGAGTGTATATCAGCTCACTGTAAACATCCAAAGATGCTGTAGATGGAGGCCACGATATGAAAAGACTCCCTCGTTTTTTTTCTCCAGCATGTTTTTCATCGTTGTTCAAAGCCGGTCATCTCCCCGTCTCTGAGGATCATTATATTTCTCTCGCTCTCACCACCCACCTTTATAAATGTCAGACAGGAATACATTTTATTTGAACTGATATCGCTCCTTGAAAAGGTACTGCAAAAGTTTTTCCACCGTTGTGTCTGCTTCCACTAATATGATTTGTCGGGCAAATTGTGTCATTAATCTGTTTCTTTTTGACAGCGTGAGTGAGGGGTGTTGGAAATAAGGACCCCGAGAGCAGAAAGGCCCTCTTTCTGTCGTCGGAGAGAGGTTGGTTTGGCAGCACTCTTCCTTTAAGGTAAACATTTATTACTTCAGGGCTGCCCGGCGAGCTGGAGGCAGTCACTTCACAGGGCTGTAAATGTCATCTTCCCTTTGACATGTGGCTGACAAATGAGTCCAAGCTCCAGTGGCCTGGGAGATCTATCAGCCTTCTTCTTCTCCTTGGCTGGAAGCTTAAAGTTATCAGAGCTGCAGAAAGAGCTCCACAGGCCTGAGATCAGCCGCTGACCGGAGGGCGTTGCATTACCTCATGGTGAATGAGTCTCGACGTGTAGATAGGTGATAGAGGTCGGTCATGAGCCTGTGGCATTACAGTTTGAGTACAGAATGTGAAAAATGTTAAAAATAGGTAAATATTTATGAAGGGAAAATTGGTTAAAAATTGGGCCAGTTTATTAGGGATGCTATGGAGCTAATAATATGCTAAAACAATCAGAATTTGAATTGTGTTGATTTAAATGATTGAAAATTGTAATTAAATAAATCAGAATTTTTATATGCTGTTAAAAATTGTTATGCATTTGAATTTCTTCATTTGAATTTCATAACTTGAATATTGAACATCTGAAATGAATTTAAAGCAACTAAATTCTTCAAGGCTGAATTTTTTATAGACGTATTTTCATACTTCAGAATTTTTGTGTTCTGAACTCAGACTACAAATATCCAGTTTGTAAAAATACAGTTTCAAATATCCAAGATGAAGAAATTCAGAACATCAAATTTCATATCCTTAAATTTAAAACTCAGATATTCAGATTGTGAAATTCAGATTTAGCAGAAAGTAGCTCAGGGGTGATTAACAGGGAAGAGTAGACGATAGGATGCATGGCCTAAAAATTTTGAACCAATATCAATAACTAAAAATCATAATAGCCAAGTCTTTCTTTTGGTCGATTTTGATATAAATACAGTTCATATTTTGATATTATATTGTTCATTTAATCTGCAGTTCGTAAATCCTAAAGAATACAAAATCAAATATAAAATATTTATATTAAAAAAGCCTAATTCATCTATTAATTCTCTGGTGCATAAGAATGAGGACAATATATAAACTAAGTCACATGTTTTTTTTCAAATAGACAAAGTTTACTGACATTCTCTGGAAAAGTGTATCCTCAAAATTAGTTAGCATGTTAAGATTCATCAGAACTTTAGTTTAACATAACGTAGCATCTTTGCTTTCTCACAAACAAATCTGTTTCTCTTTTCGTCCAAAACATTTACTAGGTGCTGACAGGCATTTCTTTTTCGTTGTCTCTGGAAAACTTTTTACAGTTCTCAAACAGACACTTCAATGCTCCATGTTTGCCCTAGCTGCTGCCGCAGATGCTTTATATTCTTTTAAAACAGCTTTGGAGAGATGACAACCAAGTGAGATATATGATTTGTTGTTAAAACCTGATGCCAGTTTTTCTCCCTTTTTAAATGCTTGTTGAAGATACAAACACTAGTGGCACTGTCCTGTGCTGACACTGAGAAGAAACTCTTTCAGAACGGCAAAGACTTGATCACAGGTGATGATGCAAAACAGTTTTAAAGCAGCAATCACTTGCACTCGAAAAGTGGATAAATCTCAGTCTCATTTATTTATTTACCAGCAGGCAATCTTCAATATCAATGTTATTTGAATATATTTATTTGTTGGAGCAATGGAAATTATGTCATGTTTCCCCATATTGCCCGATAATTTATCTGTTTAATAAATATGATGCATCCCAATTGTTTTTTTTTTTTTTTTTTTTTTTTTTTGGAGGGGCGAGGGGATGGTTACTGCAAAATAATATTTGCAGAATTCAAATATAAATAGCAAAGGAAGAGCACTGTCTATCTTTGAATACGGACTGGTGAGAAAACTTTGTGTTTTGTCTTTTTTTTAGACCACAAAATTTTCACTTATATTTACCATCAGAATTTTAGACTCAGACTAACCTATAATCTGTTTTTGTTGACAAACTGTATTTTAAAATAGTATTTAATATTATTATATTGCAATATTATTTAATGAACCCTTTAATTTCTGTTTCTTCAGTCATTGTCGTGATACACTTGTAAAGCTGGAAGTATTAACAACTTATAGCGAAATATATATCATTATCATTCAACATGGAAAATAAATATTGAGATTACGTTTTTGCCATACTGCACAGTGCTACTGCCATACCTGATTGCGATCAAGAAATAACTGTGTAAAGAGATTTGAGTGCCCAAAAAAGTGCTATAAAAATGTAAGGAATTATTAATTATTACTAAAAGGGGTAATAAACTGCCTGAGAAAGTAGAACAAAAAATCCTAAAAAGCTAGACATGCTGAGATCCAATTATTAATATTTTTTTGTCAAATAAGAATAAAAATAGTTAAGATACAAATAATTGAATCTATAAGTCTGGAAAAAGTTGTAAAGCTAGAGGGCACTGCAGTGAACCACTGTGTATCTACAAATGGCAAAAACATGGAACCGTGAGGATTCTTCGCAGGAGTGGCCGGCAGACCAAAATGACCTGCATCGACAGTGCAGCGACAACTCATCCAATAGGTCACTTTAGACCCCAAAACAAAATCCAAAGAATTGCATGCCTCACTTGCCTCAGTTAAGACGTGAGTTCATGACTCCACCATAAGAAAAAAAGACTGGAGAAAAAATGGTTTGCATTGCAAAGTTCCGCGACAAAAACTACTATTGAGCAAAAAGAAAAAAAGGTTTGGCGCAGTAATGCAGAAAACATCTTAATGACCCCAAGATTTTGGTAAAATATTGTGTGGACTCTAATGTTAAAATATTAACTTTTTGAAAGGTGTATTTCAGTATGTATGACCAAAAATAACACCACAAAAGAAGATTGTACCAACAGTAAAATATGATGGTAGTAGTGTGATGGTCTGGGGCTGTTTTGCTACTTCAGGACAGACTTGTGTTAAACAAAACCATGAATTCTGATATGTACCAAAATATCCTGAAGAATGTCCGGCCATCTGTTAGTGACCTCAAGCTTGACGCAAACTTGGGTTCTGCAGCTTGACAATGATCCAAAGCACACCAGTGTGTCCACTTCTGAATGACTGAAAAAAAAAAAAAAAACTAAATGAAGAGTTTGGAGTGGTCTAGTCAAAGTCCTGACCTGAATCCAATTTAGATGGCATGATCTTAACAAGATGGTTTATGCTTAAAAAAAAAAAATAAAAAAATTGTGACTGAATGACAATAATTATGATTTTTCATGCATATCATTGCAGCAAACTCATTTCAAGCTATCGGAAATGCTTAAATGCAGTTGTAGCTGCTAAGGGTGGCCCAACCAGTTATTCAATTTAGGAGGTCAACACGTTTTCACACACGGCTATGTAGTTTTGTATTTTGTTTTCCCTTAATAATAGTAAAAACCTTCCATTTAAAACTGCATAACTTACTATTGTTTAAATTAGTTTGATGATCTGAAACATTAGTGTGTGATAAACATGGAACCAAGTAAGAAATCAGTACGGAACACTTCTCCACACCACTGCTGAAACAAATTATTGTTTTTACCACTCCTTTTAATCAGTCGAATGTGTCCATGCTAAACAAAAGTTTAAACCATTTAAAACTGCAATGTATACAAAACTAAAACCCCAAGATTATGTCTTTCAAACCTGCGCCAAATTCAGTGCTGCTCTCATTAAATCAAAAGGGCAATGTACCAAATTATAATAAATATTTACACTTTTCAATTAAACTTTTACAGTGATAATGTAATTTGCAATAGAAAAAATAACAAATCCAACAGTCTCTTAAATTAGAAAAATGCAAATCACAAAACACATCTCACACTTTTGGACCTAAGATTATATTTACTTGATTTGCCGTCGCCTACCTGAAAAGAAAAAGCGAGCCTGTCTTTGTGTCACTTGTCACCATGCAGATCTTCACTTCTGTGATTGAGGTTGGCTGTGTGATGTTAAATGATCTTGAGGCCTGGCTGATGTCTACTGTGCATTTTTAATCTTCTTTTTCTCTTCACGCATTGACGGCTGTCCTATCGCACGCTGTCAACTTATCATTCAGCGATTTCGTTTTGGTTTTGACTTTGTTTATATCAATGTCAGGTTGAGGTGAAATCCTTGACCATCCAATCAGGTGATTGATAGCCCTTGAAAGAATTAGCAGGTGTGTAATTGTCCCGGTCATCACTTCCTTTGTTGTCAACGTTACTGTTTTTGGAAGAGGTCTTTAGACTCGCTCTAGGTTGAGTCTGGGAAATTTGCGGCGGTATAATGGGGTGGCACCGCGCAGCTTGCTGTGGGTTTTGACCCGGACCAGAACACAAGCCGTCAGCTCGAGCGGAGGCACTCCAGCAACTGTCTTTCAGCGCCATTAATCAGACTCACAGAGGACCGCCTTCCCGCCAGATGGGGAAGCTCTCCAAAACCCAAGAAAAATAAGCAGACTAATTAATTCTTATTGGCACAGGGCAATTAGATGGAGGGTTGGCAAGAGAGAAAGAGAGGAGGAAAAAAAAATATGATGTCACCTTTAGTTGGGCACCAAACTTGCAATATATTAGTGTCAGAGCTTGGGTTGGTTAGGGGACGTTTTTCATGGCCTCAACTGTATGGGGATATGATGGGACGTGAGAGAGGAGAAAACACTACAGATAGAGGTTAATGAATGATAAAGAGGCTGTTGCGTTGAGGGATCAAGGCTTTGACATACTGAATACAGCAATTAAAAACACAAGCAACGCTGACATTCTATGCAATGCAGACAGATTTCAAGTCAAAAATAAAAATAAAATGCTGCCTTTTAAATGTGCATTAATATTTCAGACATGTATTATTTTAATTTTAATAATGCAGGGTGTCTACAAATATAGGCAAGTTAAATTTAAGATCTGTTAAGACTTGATTTTTTTTTTTTTTTAATTAAGGTTAAAGGTACAGTATGAAAGTTTGACAGTGGTTGAACTAGGTATTGCATTTAAAAGCGCAAGCACAGGTTGCCAGATTGATGACAAGAGCGAATGATTTAAATTGTGTTCTAAATAAAAGCAACGGTACCCGATTGAATGAAAATGAATATTTTCCATATTAAAATTAGTTTTTGTCCTAATCAACACCTCAAATTGATATTTTAGAAACAGCTTCTATTTTTCACAGGTGAACAACAGCACACAGACAATAATGACCTCAGATACACCTCATGTGCTTTATTCAATGTTAAATGCTAACAATATAAGTTTGAATGCCATTGTACATGACATGCATTGCCATATCCTAAAAGCAGCGGCAGATAGTTCACCTCCGATCTTGTAACTTTAGAACTTTAGAACTAAACACATATGAGTGAGTCAGCATCTACATTTAATACTGTTAAAGAGGTTTAATATGTATTAATCAGATAATAAACCATACCATTTTATGTGTGAGTGCATATTCTGTGCTTCCGAATGGCTGAATTTTCAATTTCTGTAGTGTTTCGTCTGGGAAACAGCCCAACTGCTTATTATTGCGCATCTCGTCATAAAGCGTGTTGTTAGGACACACAGTTACAGTGTAACCTGCTAAACTAATGTTTTAGCTTGATATATTTTTAGTATTTCCTAATTAATAACAACCTCATGTGGAAAGTCTCATGTGGATTCTGCTACTGTCTATGGAAGGTTGCATTTCGGTCACAAACGCATGCATCGAGATCCTTCCTGACTGACTGAATGAATGAAATATGCTGTTTCCATCAAGGCAACCTGGGCTGAGGAAATATAATTAGCTAAACTGGCAATGGGTGGGTAAAATTACCAAAACAAAGAGAGCGTTCTGGCATGGAAGCACATTTTCAAAGCAGAATGTCTGACAAAAATTGTTTCTCAGAGAAACAAGAATGTTCACTTGACATGTATCTTAAATATCTGCAAACATATTATGGTACTGTATTCAGAACTTCCCAGAAATGAAAACTGACAGGTGTCAGAGATCAGACAAATTTTAAATCCATGGTAGCCATTGAGGCATTAATCCGATTGTGGTAGGCAATGACAATTGTAACTTGCCTGAATTTTAAAGTAAATAAATGAATAATAATAAACATGACAAATTTAGAAAGCTGAATGATATAAATTAATAATATATACACAAGGCAATTAAGATTTAGGACATAAAAATGATAAATGGACAAAGTCAAATTATAATTTATCAAATTATAATTCAAACTTTATCAAAAGTTTCATTTATTCAAATGGCTGACTCATTTAGGAACAAAGCAAGTGATTTGATGATACTATATTCTTGGGTTACATATCCTCTATTATGTCTCATATTTTTTGTTGTTGGTAACTCGACTGGAAAACCTGACTTTTTTTTTTTTGCAGTAATGAGAGGTAAAATAGACAAGACAAATCAAACAGTATTTTAGGTTATAATTAAGAATTCATAAGACTAGTAAAATTATACAACATGTATTCTGGTTTTCTTTAACACACTAACATATTTCAAACTCATGCAAATCAATCTATCATTTAAAACCAAAATAAATCATTTGAATGTTACAGGTACAAATTTTAGGGACCACAACTTTTTAATATATTAAGCACCCTTGATTAAATTTCCGACAAAATATTTTAATTATTTAATTTAATTATTTATTTATTATTTTTTAGTGTTTAAAAAATAAATGTGTGAATAACTGTAATGATTTCTTGTTAAAATCTATGATGCATTGTGGCTGTTAATTTAGATTACAATAGCGATTTGGTTGCCTAAAAATACAAGCTTTTAAAAATTATATTATCACTGTGTAAACTACATGTAAAAACTGTTACATCCAGTAAATGCATATAACATGTTTATAGGCACTTGAGTGTACTTGACAGCCAAAAAAAACAATGGTGGAATACATTATTATGTTTGTGTTACACTGTAAAAAAAAAAAATAATAATAAAATCTGTTATTTTATTATTTTTTTCCAACAGCTGGGGTATTGAAAAAAAGTAAAATAACAGCCAGTAAATTACAGAAATGTATTAAATTAAAATTTCTGGTAAATTTCTGTAATTTACCATCTGTTATTTTACAGTAAATGTCTGTAATTGAATGGTCATTATTTTACGATTTTTTCCGGCACCCTAGGGTAAAATATTGGATTTCTTTTACAGTATACTTACAGTAAGCGTGCTTAAGATACTGCTTGGCATTGTCAAATACTGGGCTCATGTGAATAGTACAATATTTCTAATAATTTTTTACAAATACGTGATTAATTCATTGTTTTCTTCTATTTACATCATATGTACGTTGAAAAATATTGGTGTCTTATGGTTGTAAACATATCAAATAGCAATCCTATCATAAGCAGTATTCTTCTGAGCATTCAAAACTAATTAATAATTGCAGACATGTTAGTGAAAAGATCAACAAAGGACTTTATAACAGACATTGGACTACTGTTGTGATGTTTACCTGCTAACACTAAAACATCTAGTACAAACTGAACTAAAATTCCCAATCCATATACATCACTAAAGAAGCCTAACTAAGCCATGAAACAATTCTGATATTAGTTCATTAGACAAAGTTGTGCAAACTATTAATCCAAACACTTTGAAACTTTGTTTATTAGTAGCTAATGTAATTCCATATATTTAGATTAATTACCAAAGCAACTGGGGGAAAACAGAAAGAACTACTGTGTATTTATTCTTATTTTTTTTATTCAGCACTACATTAACAACGTCTTCGTTTAGTGCTCCGGTTAGGTAATGTGAACTGGCTTATATGATGAGGTAGATTTCAATCATTAAGATGTACTATTAGCAAGAACTCCGCTTTATTACAGTAATGTTATGCTCCTATTTGCATTCATCCCCTAGGACTTGCTTTGTGCACTTGGTTTTGTCCTAAACAGAGAAATTTTGCTTTTGGACAGAGTCATTAAAGGAAGAAATTACATTTGCATCCTGTGTAATCAATAAGAAAACTCGAGGGACTGTACAGCTCATTCCTTTCAGCATTGTGGAGATTCATACTAATTAGCAGGATGCAGGCTATAGTCCCCATATTTCCATATTTGTTAGCTTTGCACTTTTTATTT